AGTGGCACTAGAATTCCTCTTTATTCATGGGGTAATGACGAGATTATTGCGACTTCGTCTGATAGTCTTCACACAATTGTATGATAGTGATGGGAGCATCCCGCTATGCTCTCATCACTTTTGTCCATGTGAAAACTCAAAAAAAAAAACCCATGACAGGTTCACATTACAATCATTATAAGTTGGAAATGATTTGAAAGCATACAACAAAACAGATCGACACATGAGTAAAGGTTTAAAACAAAACATAATCGAGAAGCAAACAAAAAGACAAATGTGGAAACACAATCTGTTTTTAACAAAACTTGAAATCAAATTCAAAGCTTAGCCTAAAAATCAAGGACAATATTCTGTAAGGAAATAAGGGAAGTCTGCTGTCTGCACTACTGCTGCCATTGCTGCTACTACAAAACAACAGCACTGAGATAAAATTCAAATGATTTTTTTTAAAGACTAGGCTGGGAAAAGATTACGAACTGAGGAGTGGAAGGTAGGTATTAGCAGGAGGAAAGGAGGAGAAAGAGAGCAGCTGAAGTGAGGAAAGAGAAAACAAAACTATAACCAAAATGCTTCAAAATGCCATACTGGTAACAAACAGAAGAGCACAAACAAAAGGGAGAGAATCAATGCAATTCATCATCCCTTCAATGAAGCACCTTTATTTGAGAAACTGGTGGGAATATTGTCCTGAACTAAGAGATAAAGCTGCCAATGAACAAAGTCCAGCTCTTTCTCCTCCTCCTCAATACCCTATCATTGTATTTTCTTCATACAATAAAATGTTGGAGAAACACTGTCTTTTTATTTTAATGGACTGGAGTAGAGCAACCCATTCAAAGCAGTATGAACTGACCCAATTTGATTTAAATCCAGCTAAGCAAATCTAGTTGGGACTTAATATGGATTTCATTGGAAAAACTGGGAAAGTTGTGATTTACCATAGTGAAGGAACAAAAAAGTGGGTTTCTCTCTTATAAATAAGCATAGTTGGGTGTATGTGCAAAGTACAGGATTACAGAGGTGAAGGGGCTATAAACTTCCCCTCTACTACTAAAGTATGCAAAGGGATCTTGTAGCAACTTTGAGACAAAGGGGGGATGCAGACGAGCAGCCCTGGGCCATCCCGGGAAGCAAAGGATCGGGGCTGAGGCTGCCGGACACCTTGGCCCCAATCCTCCCTTTTGCTGGCCCGGAAAAGAGCAGCAAAATGCCGCTCCTTTCAGAGCTGGCAAAAGGGCGCCCTAAGAGCTCTTTAGCGCCTCTTCCAGTGCAGTACGTTAAACACTGCACCGGAAGGATGTCCTGACACTGTGCGCCATATGTAATGATGGCGTGTGGCATCAGGATGCCTCTGGTGTGGGGTTGAGGCACCCGGCATGTGGCTGCCCCTCCCCATCTCTGCCTCCAGGCCGGCACTTTGGGCCAGTCTGTAGAGACCCTAACTCAGATGTAGGCAACCTTTCCCCTTTAAGGGCCGAGGGACTTCAGCTCCCAGAATCCCAGGAACTATTGGTCAACATGGCTGAGGCTTCTGGGAGCTGAAGTCCCTCGCCCCTTAAAGGGGAAAGTTGCCTATCCCTGCCCTAACTGAAAAGACAGAGGTTGGTAACATGAGCTTTCATAGCCCCTTGAGCCTACTTCTAAATGCATCTAAGGTAGTAGGCTCAAGTCTGTGGATGTTATCACACACGGGGTCTCAAAGCGGCAAGAAAGCGGCATGGAATCAATCCAGAACCATACCGGAATAGACCCCCGTAGCTTCAGACAAGAAAGCAGCATCATTCCGGTATGGTTCTGGATTGATTCTGGTCGCGGCAAGATGTAATTCCTCAATGAAAGAGGAATTGCAAAGAACGGGGATGATGCCGCAATGTGCCGGGGATGGCACTGGATGGGGCGGGGTTTGCTGCAATGTCGTTTGAACAGAGGGGCAAAGGATCCGGAATGGGATGGGGATGGGACGGGGATGGGACTGCTTTAGACCCCGTGTAATAACGTCTTATTACATTGGTAATAAGCTCATGCTACCAATTCTTTCTTCCAGTTAGTCTTGAAGGTGCTGCAAGATCCCTTTGCATACTGATTTTCTAACAGGGTTGTCTTTGAATCCTACTACTAAAAGGACAGGACTATCTGTGTGGTAACTGTTTATGGTTGCAATCCTTCCTTTATACTAGAAGCGGGAATCCTTCACTACTGAGCATACTCCCTTGGGCTTCTGGAATTGAAATCCAAAACACCTGGAGGGTCAAAGCTTTCCCCCACTTGCTATATGTTTTTACATGGGAGTAAATCCCATTGATCTGAGTAAAAATGACTTCTAATTAATACTTTTGAAGAATGTATTGTAAGGCTAGTTTTCAGGTGTTCCCTAATTTGGAATGTACTGGTAATTTGGAAGAATGAGGGAAATAAAAAGTATCATATGTATACATTAATAACACCAATTAGACAAAATGAGTGGATTGCTTAGGAAATATTGCTATGGGATCATTTCTCACTTCCCTCTGTTTTCTTATTTATTCCATTTTCACCTTCTCTTCTATCTCCTTCTACACCAGGATTTCTCATTGACACATGTGGTGTGTCCCCCCCCCATTTTTTATTGCCACAAAAAGGATAGGTAGGATAGACAAATTGTGACCAATTTAATGTCACCTAGCAAGCTATCTGTGCAAATGTTTCTAAATGAATATAACAGACTGCCCCAAATCTACAAGTGAATAAAAGAGTTCACAGTTATATAACAAAACAGTTATATTACTATGATATTATAGTATAATATTATATTTATGAAATCATATAATACATTTTGAAAATATTTTGAGCATTTTTCATGTATGCACACTTCCATTAGCCAAAACGAGATAGCATTTTAAGACACACTTTTTAAATCCATCAGGGTGAACAAATGGTTTCATAAATGTCTTATTGTACCCTGAGAATGATTCTGTGCATAAGTGCTTAAGCCTCACTGATGGACTTTCTTCTCAGTACACCTGCATAGGATCTGGTTACAGTATTTGGCAAGCAGTGTGTGTGTGTGTGTAAGGGAAGGGCCCTGCATGACTATGGGCCTCGGCAGACGACTAATTGGGTCGTCTTGGAGGCACGGAAGAAGAGGGACAGCCGCACGACCGGCGCCCCTTCCTCTTCCCGAGGTTGGCCTCGGAGCTGCTGGCCCTCCGCACGGCCGGCGCTCCCAGGGTAACCTCCCGCTGCAGCGACCGCATGCGCTGCGGTGGAAAAGTCAGGGAAAGTGCACCCTACGTGTTTAGGGCGCACTTTCCCTGACTTCTAAAAGGAGCACCAATTTGGCGCTCCTTTTAGGGTCGCCGCAGGAGCGCCGCGGTGCGGAGGCTGCGGTCCTGCGGCGCTCCGGACCAGGGCATCCCCGACGCCCTGGTCTGCATCCCCCCTATATTACAAACAAGCATTTGAAACTTTGAGATAGGGCTGATGCAGATGGCCTGTTTGGGGTGGATCGGGGCCACAGCAAACACACCCCGTGGCTGCTATCCTCCTTTTTGCCACCTCAAAAAGAGCGGCAAAATGCCGCTCTTTTTTGGGGCGGGAAAAGGCCACCCTTAGAGCTGCTGTGGCAGCTCTTTTGTAACCTTTTGGCTCAGGATATGTGCACACTGCACCAAGAGGGTGCCCTGATGTTGCGCACCATGCGGATGGGTCTTGGCGTCAGGGCAGTCAGGGAGGCCGGCATGCGGCTGCCCCACCCCATCTCCACCCCCAGGCCAGCCCTTTTGGTCGGTCTGCATAGGCCCATAGTCTTGTATCTCATGATTTCTAAATACATTTCATAGTTACAAAAGGAGAGAGATTAAAACTATGAGTCATTTAGATGTAGGACTTTGATTTACTTTCCAGTTATCCAAATTACCAGTGTCCTCATGTAATGCAATGTATTTTCCACTGCATTTCAAAGGGGATTCCAAAGGGAAATTAAAACAATATAAATAGGTGAAATTATGTTTTAATCTTCTAATGAGTTTAATTGCCAATTTAAATTTAATTTTCAATTAAATCAGTTTAATTGCTAAATGCCAGAATACATGAAAAGGGCATGATTGGAGACAAGGTAAGCACCTTCAAATCCTACTAATTTTAGTGAAAGACATTCATAGTTTACACCTTAATGAGTACTGTTATGGCTTTGCCATTATAGCATTATTTCCAATATGGGAGCATAAAATGGCCCCAGGAACAGTAGCTGGTTATTTTAAAAAGTAAACTGAAGGGGAGATTATTAGTAATGTGTCAAAACAATTCTAAACTATGCTCTCAACGAAAACATTGAGAACATAATGCTCCATATGTTACATTTTTATACAGAAATTTTGCATATTATCTGTTCCATTTCACACAAATATGTTTGTTTAGCACATATCCACATTACAAATGTGTAAATGGTTTTATTTCAGTTGGATCTTTAAGGAATCCTGGAAATTTGAGTTTGCTAGAGGTGCTGAGGAAGGATCCCCAGTACTTGCACGCGCACACACACACACACACACACACACTATTACCTGAAGAGAAGGAATAACTTTGAAACCTAGGGGACATCTACACTGTAGAAACAATTTAGTTTGACACCACTTTAAATGCTGTGGCTCCATTCTATAGAATCCTGGGATTTGTAGTTTTGTAAGGCACCAGCAATCTTTGGCAGAGAATGCTAAAGACCATGCAAAACTACAAATCCCAGGATTCCCTGAGATAGAGCTACTGGAGATAGGACCTTATTCTTTAGTCCCCCAGCCTATCCTCTCTGTAGAGATGTACTGTTCAGTCTATTTTTTGGTTTGCATCAGTTTCATGTGTTCAGTTCTAGATCTTTTTTGCTGTTGTGTGCCTTCAAGTCATTTCTGACTTATGGTGGCCCTAAGGCTTGTTTTCTTGGCAGAATTCGTTCAGGGTTTTTTGCCATTTCCTTCCTCTGAGGCCGAGAGAATGTGACTTTCCCAAGGACACCCAGTGGATTCCCATGGCTGAGCTAGGATTCAAACCCTGGTCTCCAGAGTCCTAGTCCAACATTAAAACCACTATGCCACACTGGCTTTAGCTATAGTTTCCCATATTTCTGATCCACAGTTTTCTTTAAAAAACAAAAACAGAACAAAACTCTATGTGAAAATTTGTAGATAAAATATATTTTTGAGTGTTTATCCCAGAAAATACATGTTTATATGTTGTTAATTTTTTTTTTAAAAATGAATTTTTCATACATTTTATATTAAATTCTGCATTTTAAAGTTATTTCGAAGCATTTTGGGGCTGACAACTGCTTTGTAAAATTTGCAAGAGTACAAAATACAATTATGTCTTAAACTCCTCATGTGTCTAGAAAGAACGGATCAAGTTCACATCAGATTCTTTCAAGATCCATTTCCTCAATCATACCTATCTCCAAACCTTCATTTTAAGACAACAGGGTAATGGATGGACCTCAAGTGCCCATATAATTTATTATCATTGCAGTGCATCCTCATTAAAAAGTGGTGCCACCAGAAAAAGACTTGCATCAAAGATGCCGATTGAGTAAAACAATGCAGATGGCTTAAATGAATGAGCTAACCAACATACTCAATACAATAGCAGTCCAGATAGAGAAAATGTTAATGGGAAAAGTCAATTTTGAGAGGGTAATTATTTGAGCGGGTTAACCTCTTCTAAACAGAAGTCAGTCCTACTTACAGATGGCACATTGGGGCAGCCATCCAAGGGTGAATCATACAGGATGTTTCTTTCACAAAGAACCAGTATATCCCAGTGTCCCAGTGAAGTGAGTAAAAAAGGCCATTACATGGCTGGGCAGCAGCTCTAGGTCGCAGAGATGCTGATGCAGTGTTGGCCTGTGTGAACAACGCTGAGCTGTCACACTGGATGTAGACCAGTGCATGCAGCCACCATCGTGGCCAATCTGGTCAATTCTGGAGCATAATCTCTGGACTGGCCCTAGCTTTATGGCCAGTGCAGATAGGACCTCAGTCTAGGGTTGCCATCATTCTCTACCACTAAACCGGGACAATTTTTTTTTAAAAAAAATGTAGGACAAAATTTAGCCTCAAATGTAGGAGGACATTCATGAAAAATGGAGGACATGACCAACTAAAAGCCAAAAACATTTTTTTAAAAAACAACAACACATTAATATAAATGCATGCTTCTTAGTCATGCTCAAAATGGAGGAGAATTTGACAGAAGGCAGAAATGTAGCTCCTCTGGGTATCCTTGGGCAAGCACACTCTCTCAGCCTCAGAGGATTTTAAGAACAAACCCCCTCTGAGGAGTAAAGCATGCCAATAAGTAAACCACACACACACACATATATATGGTTAAGTTATTGGCATGCTTTACCCCTCAGAGGGGGTTTGCCCTTACCATCTTCTGAGGCTGAGAGAGTGTGACTTGCCCAAGGACACCCAGGGGCTTTCCATAGCCCTATTCCCCCCCCCCCCAGTATTAGCATCTCTTACTTATCTGCAGCTCTCTCTCTCTCCTTTGAGTCTGTGAAGTGGGAAGGTTAGAAGACTTTAATTTTCAATCTCTGCTGAAAGGCCCCTGTGCATACAATTTATATACTGGTAGGTGAAAATTAGCATCCATTGTCTTTCCTGGCAGTTCTCTTCTACCCCTATACAAATAGCAGGCACAGATCCTGACTATAAAGAAGGGTAAATAATTAAGCACCCTCAGTCCCAAAGATGTGATGCAGATGGGGACTGTGCTGGCTTTTTGGAAAACAACAACAACAACAACACCACTCTAACTCAAAACAGTTTCACCTGATATAGAAGGCTTAAATACCTTGAAGGTATGAGATCTTATCTAATCCTGGAAGCTAAGAAGAGGCAGGACTAGTTAGTCCCCGGATGGAGGACCATCATGGAATATAACATGCTCCAAGCTATATTTCCGAGAAAGGCAATGGCAAGCCACCTCTGATGTCCTATGCTCCACTTAGCAAGGGATCCAGGACTCAGAGGGTTGTAAGGTAAGAGTTGTTAGGTGCTTAATACAGTCACAAGCTATCCAGAAAGATGAATGGAGAAACAAGTTGGAAATCATCAGTTGGTCCAGAAGTCATTACAGCAAGACATTAATCCAAACAAAGTAAGCAAGGAGTCATCAATTATAGCCAGGTCAAGGTCAAACCCACACCAACAAGGCAAATACTGCCAAACACCAAGGAAGAATGCAAATAAGACACCAGGAAGCTGCTAGGAGATTTATAGGCCACTGTCTCAGGATAGTAGGTGTTTAATGAGAGTTTCCTATTTAGCAGACACTGGGATTTGCATAGCCTCTCCTTCTTTCTTCCATGACTTCCAAAGGGGAGACATGAGTTCTGAAAAGTCTGGCACTTCCTGCTGAGGAATGGGCCTCCCAATTGCCTCAACCCCCAGCTCCTTGGACTTGGAGGCCTCCATTATCTGGAGTTGTATATTCCTGGCAATCTGACTGTTCCATGAGATTCCTATCCTGCGACAATCATGTTGTCTGTAAAAATGGTTCGTTTTCAGTCTAGATTAAAATGTGGAGTAAATACACTGCCCTACTGACATGGGAGCCACCAGCCACTGCTGCTGAATTGATTGCTATTGTTTTTACCTGCAGTGGAACACACACACACACACCTGGAATATACACATGCCAAAAGAAAATGTTCAGATTTGGAGACTCTACAGCGGCTTTTTGGCGTTCCTTTGGTGCAGCCTGATGCCGCCCGCCAACCGGTTGGATAGGCAGCGTGATGGTGGCATCAGGAAAGAGTCGGGGTGGCCAACATGCGGTCACCATGCCCCCACTCCACCTCCAGGTCGGCCCTTTTGGAGTGGGACACAACTTGATATTGGAGTGGGACACAATTTGATGTTCATCTAGATCAGGGGTAGGCAACCTTTCCCCTTTAAGGGCCGAGGGACTTCAGCTCCCAGAAGCCTCAGCCATGTTGGCCAATAGTCCCATGTTGGCCAATAGCTCCTGGGATTCTGGGAGCTGAAGTCCCTTGGCCCTTAAAGGGGAAAGGTTGCCTATTCCTGCTCTAGATTCTAGAGGACATTAAATATGCTTTGGTTTATGTTTATTTATGTTTATGTTTATTTAGGATTTTTGTGTTAATGTGAAACAGGGTAGCTCATAGATAGCTTGCTCCTTCTAAGGAGCAAGCTATCTATGAGCTACCCTGTTTCACATTAACACAAAAATCCTAAACAAACATAAACAAAAGAGCCATAAATAACATCCGCTGACATTCTGCATTGCCTGCTTATGTATGCATAGCTAAATAACATTTCCTGGTCTGGCTCCCAGAGCATATTTTAACAGCCAGCAGCCAGATTGGACTAAGGAGGTCTGTTCAACTGCTCATCGGGGCACAAGGAGGAGGATGTTTCCAACTCCCTCCCACCAGTGAGTGAGGCTGTGACTATCAGAAGTAGGCCCTTGTAGTAAGGCCCTTTTCATTTGTTTTCCTACAAGTTTTCACAGTAGAAGCTTTTGCAAGGGTGGGGACCAGATGTGGTTATGTAGCCCCACCTAGCACTTTCACTGTTGGCTATACTGGCTGGGGCAGGTGGAAGTTGCATGGAAATCAAGAAGATCACATGATTCTCAGCCCCTACTTTATAGCCCCATGGTTATAAATAGCACCTGTTAATATAAACAAACCTCATATTTCAGGAAACTCTTCCAAATATTTTTGATAACCTGTTGGTTAGTGTATTGACATTTGTATTTGAGGCAAGGGACTGTAGTGTAATTGAAGTCAAGATGCCTGGGCTCGTTTTAATTTTTAATTTCTATGCAGTGTTTCTAAGAATTCAGATGATATTAATCAAAATCATTTCTTTGTGTGCTTAGGCAAATGTATGGATATGAATGCCAACTTTAATCGCATAAAAATGCAAAACGCCCTTGAAAACAATTCTTAGTTTACAAGGGTTGCTTTTATTCATTAGCTAACATTGATTTCCCACTTTTCCTCCAGTAAGTTCAGGGCGGCATTGGTAACTCCTTTCCTCCCTACTTCTTCCTCACAACAACCCTGCGAAGGTTGAGGATGAGTGGTCCAATGAGTTTCATTGCTCAGTGGAGGGACCAAAACTTGGATCTCCAAAGTCACAATCTAGTTTTGTGTGTGGATAATCTCTCCCCCCCCCCCGCCGCCATTTCTGAGAAGTTGGTATATTCTAGGACACTTTATCCATTGCACAAATTGCTCAGGAGGCTCATACAATTCCTGTGAAGTCACTGAAAACATTTCAAAGATTCCAATTTTCAATTGCTTTAGTGTTGTTTTTTAAAATTTGGATGCATTGCTTTTTATTTATTTAGCCTAACAACACTTCAATGGCATTCTAGTGGGAATGTCCGGCAGGCAGCCTTCATTTTTTAAGCAACCATAGTAAGTATTCTAAAATATTATCCAAATCTTTGACCCTGCAGACATAGATATAATTAATGTTTTCTGAAACATAAAGAGTTTGTGGGAACTCTTTCTGTTTCATTGGAAAGGAATAGATCAGTGCTGTGCCTCTCATTAGCTCTGGTTAGCAAATAAAGAATTAGCACTGTTCATCCATTACTCCCGCATTAAATCCTGAAGGAAAAAGATCAGGTCTTTCTTTTATAGCCACATGACCAAAAAAGAAAGGAAAAGAAAAGAAAAGAAAAGAAAAGAAAAGAAATACAGACAGCCTTGCTTTAGGTAGCAATGTCTTTTGTGTGATCTGTCTATGAGCAATTGTACCAGCTTAGGGCTGAGACAAAGGACGTTATCACACTTGCAGTAAGAGAGCGGCGAGAAAGC